CTCCAGAAAGTGATCACAATTTAGAAACATCAGCTGTTCTGGGAGAAACGGGAGGAGATTGATGGCTGCCTAATCTCTCTCCTTCCTCCTGGACCCCCCCTCCCTTCTCCTCCCCACAGCTCCAATTAAAAAAAAAAAAAAAAATCCCCTACAGGATCAGTTGTAAAAGGAAGGGGAAGACCCGGAGCCAAGAGGAGGCGGTGGCTGCGAGCTGCTCCGAGGCCCGCTGCAGCAGCGCGCGCGCCCCATGAATGGGTTACTACGGCCTGGGCCGCCGGAGGCGGAGCCGTGGCCCGATATGGAGCCTCATTTGCATGGACGCTCGGGCCGGCGCCCGGCAAGCCGGGCAGACGTCCTCCGGCGGCGCGCGCCACGCTCGGCGTTGCCGGGAGTCCGGGAGGTGAAAGGGGACAGAAAGCTGCAGGCGCCGCGTCCTTGTCCGAACCCAGTGTATGCGCGCGGGACTGGGGACCCCAAGCCCTGCACTGAAGCGGGGTAGCAAGGCCTTGCGGTGGGGATGAGCCGGCTCGGCCTGGCCGCCGGACCAGGAAGCTTCCGTGGATCCTGCCTCTAGGTGCAGGTTTTTGTAGCCTGCCAGGAGGCATATTTATTCCCGGGGTTCGGATCTGTATGCATGTTTGTGAAGAAGCGAAGACTGTGACCACATGTACTTATATTTTGTGCAAACGTTTCCCACAGCACCAGCTCCCTGAACGGCTCTCCTAAGTCTCCAGGAGTTCATGGTGACACTCAGATTTGGGGGCGGTTTGCAAGTTATTGAGAGAGGAGGATACATGAATGAAGGCGACGGGTGGGGCGTGGACGAGCGAGGCTCAAGTGCCGTTCAAATAAAGAGTGTCTGGGGAAACGGTAAAGGAGCTAAGGAAAATACCCCCGGGCGGGCGCAAGCAGGAGTCGCACCCGCGCAGATGAGAGGTTGCTGACAGATCCTGACAGGCTGAGTGCAGGAGCGGCCAGGGCGTAGTCCTAGGGCCCTCCCTTCAACTTCCCTCCCTTTTCTCCACCCCCAGTTGTCGAAGCCCTCCCTCCCTCCCCCGCATCCCGGAGCCGGGAGAAGAGTGGTAGGGAGCAGTGGGGGAGTCGTGGAAACTTTGCCCACGGTACGTGGTCGCCTCGATGTTGGCCGCGAGTTGGTGGCTGGGAGGTGGCGGCAGCTCCGCGGAACCGCTGAAATCCTAGACAGCTTTTTAACTACGCTGGGCAGCTCATGACGCCTATTAAATATCCTCCTGGCTGGGTGTTATTTTCTTCTTCTCCTTTTGTGTTCTGATCTGTGCATAGATCTGCTACTGAAATCTAGAACACCAGCGCGAAAACAGATTTGAAGACAATGAATGCAAATCTGTGCTCAAAGACCATCTGCCGTGGAGGAGACAATCAGCTGTTCGGCGGCAGTTCGAACGACTGCGCCCGAATCTCCCGGCCTCATTACTGAGAGGGCATTTGCGAAAGCCTGGATTACATTCCGGAGAATTTCCCCGGTTTCAGACTCAGATTTGAGCGTCTATTGATTCCCAACCAGATCCCTTAGGTGTAGGTGAGCGCTCGCAAATGAACTGCAAGAGTTTACCGCTAGAGGACACAGCGCCATGCTAGTCGCTTGCACGAAAGGAAAGGAAGCTTCCACTTTTTGAAAATGTGACTTTCTTTAGAAAAGGACGAGTGTGCGCCTCCACCCTATCCCAAGGGCAAACCTCGACCCCAGGCTGCCTGAGCCGGATCGCTTTCTAGAAGAGTTAGTCTCCTGCGAAGATTGGCTTGAAAGTCAGAAGATGGGGTACGCTGCTTTGGCAGTCTCTGCACAGACTCGTGGTCAAAAGACGGGGGTAACTGATGAAGGGAAGGGGAGAGACTGTGAAAACCCCGCCTCTGGGTTGTATTGACTGCGGCACCCCGACCCCAAGGGCTGTGTCTTGGTCCTCCGGTTTGAACCATTAGAAATGGAAAAAGCCATGCAGGCAATTGGGCATAAGAAAATGGAAAGAGAGGAGTGTAAAACAGGAGTTGTCCACAGAAAAAACAGGGAGGGTGAGAGAGAGCAAGGAGGAATTCGAATCGGCAAGTCTGTTATGTGCAGGTTTTGTGGTTAATTTTCATCCATGCAAAAACTACCCAGCGCGCTCATTGTAAATTTCTTCGACCCTCAACTTCCCCCACTCCCTTCCTCGTCTGGGGTCTACGCCCAGCAGAGTTAAGGCCTTGGGTTTCTTGGCGCAGAACGTGGAAGAGCCGGTGCGCCCTTCCAGACGTGCCAATGAGCCTGGTAATTCTGTTTTCCAAGAGACCTTTGATCCGCTGCACTTCACGCTGCCCAGGAAAAGTGCCGAGCGCACACGGAGGGGCTGCGGGTCCTCGGTGGGTCTGGGCAGGCCGGGACAGTCGGCCCCTCAGGCTCACGTTGGCTGAGGTTAAAGGGCAGAGCCAGGGTCGCGGACTCCGGCTTTTCTCTCCGGTAACAGCTGCCACCCAAATTATGCCCCTCAGGAAGTGGATGAATTGCTCCTTTCTCCCAGCTCGCTGCTGCCCGCCCCATATCAGACTGGCGCCCACCGCAGGAGCCCCACACCACACACACACACACACACACTCCCACCCGCAGAGACCAGCTCCGGG